CTGGCGTTTGCTGCATGTTATTGCTGTACAGCTGTACCCTCTCTTGCATAAATTGTTCTCAGTTTTGCTACATGCTAACCCAAATCGTGGCAATAATCTTAACCCACCAGATATTATTGTTTTGCACATACTGTCAACATGTGCATATGTAAAGTATGTCCCTTTTTATCCTTAAAACCAAATTTAAAACCTGTTCCCACCTATCAGCATTTTTTTATGCCACCCAATGAGTGATCTTCAACTTTCATCTTGGTCTATATGTCAAAAACATATTAAAAAAATACTTCAATGCATTGAGTGGTCCTATGCTATTACGCAAAACTAGTTTTATGTTCTGAGTAGTCACTAGGTTTGAGAACTTTAAATGAAACTGTTCAAAATACAACTGATTAGTTCACGTGAAAAAAACTTCAAAACCCCTTTACCTGTTAGTACCGTCTACAATTCTAGTAGCATCCTGGAGAAGCACATAGGGAACATATTGGTCATTTGATCTAATAGCCAAAATATTTTAAGAAAAAATAAGTTAAGAGAAATAAGTGTTTGGCAGGTTACTGAAAAGTGAACCATCAAGTTGACAGAAACTGGTTAGCATAATTGCAATTATCGTTGGTCATGCAGCCAAGTAAAGAAGCATATTTCTTCACGATTCGAGTCATTATGTAATAAATGAAAATATTTAATCCCGAACTAGGGTTTTCCTTTGTTCTTATATCTGTGTGATAAGTCATCAAATTTCATACCCAGTTTTCCACTGATAAATCCTGTGATTGGATAATATTTGCATCAACTTTTTTGCAGATTCAAACTTGAAGCCTCCGTATTGCAGCAAAAGATTGTTGCAAAAAATACAGCAAAGAGTATCATCCCAAATTCTGTTTCTAGTGTTGTATCTGGGAAAAGCTCCAAGATTGTTCCCATTGAAATTAATCGTTCTTCTACCAAAGTTGACAAAACATTTGATAGTAGATCGAATATCTCGAGGTACTGGTCTCATCTATTTTATCCACTTAACTTCCCCCCCTTTTCTGCTAATGCTTCCAATGACTCCGAAGTTAAAGGACTCTTTCCTCCTGTAGCAAAACAAAATTAAACTACAAGACTACAGAAGCAAAATCAGTGAGATTTTCTGAGGGCAACTCAGGGTTCTTCTTGCAAACAGAACCCAAAGCAAATTTTATAGAGGAGAAAAGTGCATCTTTGGCCCCACCTTTGAAGCGGAAGTCATTCGAGGTTCTTCTTGTTATATGCTTTTGTGTCTAATCTTCAGTGCTCTGAATATATGTGGTTTCTACAAAAATTGCAACAATCTTGTGCCCCAAAATTATGTAGTTATCCACCTTCTTTTTTTGTATTTTGTTTTCGTTATGCTTCATTAAGGTCTTATCCGTGTCACTTAGCAATAACCTTGTTATTTTTTCTACTTCTTCAGTCTAGGTTCATTTTGGTCCATCCCTAGTGTTTTCAGATGTTCTAGTACAATCCTACAACCTCTAGATTGTGTACTCATCTCTCTTGCATACCAATGAATGATAGGTCATAAGCTGGAGAGTCTTCATCCATTCAAAAGATCATTTACTGTAGTTAAAATAACTTAATTGGGGGGCAATTCCCCTTATTCTCTCGGTTGAAATCACCTCAAACTTTTAAAGTATTAACTTATTCCTTACAGTCTTTAGCAAATTCCTTCTTGCCAGCCTTTCATTTCAGCTATCAGTATGCTTGGTCATGCTGCTTTCTCCCCCTCCTCGCCAAAGCATGTGCAGTCCTATGAGCATCTTGTTAACTCAACTCCATGGTATTTTATTTTCATATGGACTAAAGAATACCTGTGATTTCTATATGCTAGATGTGATCAAGGCTGGATATGTTTAGCCATCTGAAAGCACCTTAAAAAGGCATTCCTCTGTACTTCCGAACTATATTGACATCAAAGGAACTATGTTGGAGACTCCTGGTTTAAGAAATAAACACATAGGTGGTTGAAATGCATCTATTTTCTTCTCCCTCTAATTATGAACTCTATTAAGTAGCATTCTGGTTAGCAGAAAGCAATTACTGAAACAGAACATCTACAATTTTATTCAACATTAGTTTTTTTTGTAAATTATTGTACCTTGCGTAAGCCTGTTTAAGTATATTTAACAGTTTCAGGTGCAAGTAAAGATAGTTTATGATAATTATTTTAAAGATGTCTTTTTTTTTGGCTTCAGAAAATAGGCTTATTCATGGTAACCATTTGCATATTTGTTATATATGCTGGAAACTGCTAGTACCGTGTAATATTTCCATACAAAAGGAAATATTCCTACGTATGTTCTTTTGAATACAATTTGGCTTCATAGTTTTTGAAGTGGATTAAAACTGAACCTAAATGTCTCTTCTACATGAAACACTGCAGGATTCAACAGATAATCCGAAGAAGTTGAATCCATTAAAGCGTGTCATGAAATTGACTATTGGAAGGTATACCTAGGACATCAAACTGTGTTGCCTCAGTTAAATTCCTGAACTAATTTGGATGCTTTGTCAAATTCTGCAGGAAATCCCTAGAAATTTCTCCAAGAACTGAAAAGGCAGCGGTATAACACATTTGATGCGCATCATGCACATAGTTTTAGGATCACTAGTTTGTATTATGTTTATTATGATGGATATGTCGTTATAGTAAATTCTACCAGTTGTTTCGTGTTTGTCTTTTTGCAGCTCTCTGTACCTGAAAAGTTGGAAGCACATGAAAGTTGTGCTGTAGATCTGGATTCAAGTGGCTTTTCTGAGGTGGGAGACTTAACAGGCATTGAACTTCCAGCACCACTGGAGAAAGATGACGAAAAAGCTTTTGATAGTAGATTGAATATTTCAAAGTACAATGTCTTGTCTTTCCTCACTCCTCGACTTATCCTTTCTAATTTGCTGACACTTCCAGTGACTGAGACGTTGAAGGGCTCTCCTAACCTCAGTATTTGATTATGCTGTAGTATAACAAAGTCAAACAGAAAAGTACAGAATTCTGCAGCGTCAAAAGAAGCTGATCCAGCAAGAGGTTCTGAGAGCAACTCAGAGTTTCCCCTAGAACCAGCATCTACTATGGCATATTCTATCACAGAGAAAAGGGCAACCACACCTTTAAAGCGGAAGGCATTTGAGGTTCTTTTTGTTGTATGCTTTAATTTCATTATATTTAATGCTTTGAAAATATACGGCTATGACAATAATTATAACAAATCCTACCAAATATATTGGTCTTTTATGGTGCTCTTGTCCATTCTTTTTTAATAACGTCTCTTCTTTGTAGAGTGGTAGTAACCATGTTTTTTTTTTAAGTTCCACTGTCCAGTTTTGGTGTACACCTGGTCCTATTGGATTTTACAGTACAGTCCTAGCAGATGAAATTGGGTTATCACTGTCTATTGTTCATTTATAAAACCATCTAATTTGTTATCACTTATCCTTTCAGTTGAATCCACCTCAAACTTCTTAAGAACGAACTTATTTCTTGGCCTGTCATTCTAGCAAGTTCCTTATTGCTAATGTCAAAATTATCATTTCAACTACCCTCATTTTGTCCATGGTTCTAAAATTTTCTAACCCCTGTGAAGTACCTTCCTACTTTGTAAATATTCTTCTTCAAAATTCACGGATATTCTACATTCACCAGTACTAGAGATCAATGCCCTCTTAGGCTAATAGCCCACATGTGATCAAGACTGGTTATCTTAAGCTATGTGGGATTCTTACTTCAGTTCTAGAAACAGTAGTAATTAACATACTAGAAGAGTATACTTCTCACCTTATATTTATAGAAAACTGTGTTACTTCAAAGAAACTATGATGGGGCTCCGTACACGAGGAAATAAACATGCCAATAAATAAGATGCCTTTATTTCTTCTAGATATAAATTGTATCCTCTATTAAAGCAGCTTTCTCAGTAGCAAATAGTTAAATTAAAAATATGTAATATTCTCTGATACTAGGGTTTCATAATTTGTTGCATTGTTCACTATGAAAGTTTGATCTTTTAACTGTTTCAGTTGTTTGAATGGGCAATTATTTCTAAGATATTCNCCCGGGAAAGCAAGGTCCATTCTTGGGTGACACGCATCTTGTTTCACTCAAACCAATTAATTCTTCCATGCAGTGGAAATATTCCTACTTGCAGGATATTGTCTATATAAATTGGCTTAGATTTTTCTCATGGGTTGGTGTTGAAGCCTAATATTGTATATTACACCTCACGACTAAATAGATGGTTCAAAGAACTCAAATTCATTGAAGCGTGTCATGGAATTGAGCATCAGAAGGTATGCTTAGGACATAAAATAATATTATTGTTGGCGCATGTGGTTAAATCAGGAATAATACAGATATAAAGCAGCAAAAACTGAAAAGAAAGGTGAAGTATAGTAATTCAAACATCCCACATCCGAAATGCTTTGAACTCATTCAGTCTTAAGAGCCATCCTTTCTCATGATAGGATTCTAGGTGAGTCTTTTAGATGTGTTTCCTATCTAATACCCCATATCCGAAATGCTTTGTATTCATTAATACTTAACAATCATCTCCTTTACATGATAGGATCCTAAGTGAAAAGATCAAAGTTTTACTCGGGTAGTTCAGTCAGGTAAGGATAGTACTAGAGGAAGATCAAAGATCAATTAAGTACCTCGTTCCTTACGGAACGTGTTACGTAACTCCTAAATCTTGCCTTAGACACCGATTAATCTAAGAAAACTTGAACCCCCCTAGGATTTCACTTGTAAATCTTACTTGACTTTTGAACCAATTATCTTATCATTAGTAGCATAAGCTTTGAACTAAAAACTTGATATAAATGGTAAATATTTGTAAGACTTACAAAACTTTGAGACCCATTCCAATAGATGTCCTTTCGATTATGTCCTTTTTCAGACCCTTAGTCAAAGGATCAGCGACATTCTCTGAAGATCGGACGTCAATCACAGAGATGACTTCTTGACAGATGAGCTCTCTCAAATAGCCATACTTCAGACGAATGATCCGCTTCTTTCCATTGAACATCGAGTTAGCTGTCACAGCACTCGCCGCTTGATTATTACAATAGATAGTAATCGCGCCTTACAATTCTGTCAATTGAAGGTCTCGGAGAAAACAACTGAGCCATTCAGCTTCATTTCCTGCAGCACAGAGTGCGAAAAACTTAGATTCCATCGATGACTATGCAATCATTATCTGCTTCTTAGACTTCCACGAGACGACAGCTCCACCCATAGTGAAGACAAATCCTCCAATAGATCTGCACTCATCTGGTTCTGAGCACCAACTCGTATCTGAATAGCCTTCAATTATAGTCGGATATCCAGTGTAGAATAGGCCCAGATCTGTAGTTCCTTTTAAGTATCTCATCTATCTCTGGACATCATCCCAATAAAGCTTTCCAAGATTACTTGTGAACTTATTAAGCATTCCTACAGTGAATGTAATGTTTAGCCTTGTGCAGCTCATCGCGTACATGAGACTCCCAATGATCTTTGAGTACCTCAGCTCAAGGTTTTAAATGTCGGATGTCAGGTTCATATCGGATGGTTGAAATCCATATCGGATAGCGAAAATCGAGGATATATCGGGGGACATTAACTAAATATCGGATTGCCATATCGGGTAGTGCGCATATGTATAATATCATGTCCTAAATGTAATCTAAGCATTCATAAATTCAATATAAACATACTTTATAAATTCTATAGGCTAAACATATAAAAAAGTAAATAATATATGGATTTGGGTTCATAAATTCTTTTTATCGGGTTTATAAGAAACCCTTAAACATGAGAACGAGTCAAACGAGTTTGGGTATTTATCACTAAATCCAAACCCGATAACAAAAAACAGATCTTAAAAAAAAACCATATCGACCGATTCTTCATAACTAAAAAATAGGCCGATATGCTCGATATGACCCTGATATTTCCGATTTGGCCCTGAAAACCGACATACGAGTTGAAAACGTCCATGTCGTATCGGTCAAGCCCTCAAACCGATGTCGGCCGACACGTCGGATATGTCAGCCGATATTTAAAACCTTACCTCAGCTGCTCTACTGGTCTTTCAGTGTTTGGTTGAAGCTTCTTGTTGTAATCGTATGACACTGATAATTTTGACAGGTCGTTGTAGTCATACTTTCTTAGCATGCTTTCAACATAATGAGATTGGGAGAATCCAATACCCTCTTCAGAATATATGATTTTGATTCCGAGATCACGTCCGCAGTTCTAAGGTCCTTCATGCTGAACTGAGCTGAGAGAAATTTCTTGATAGATATTACTATCTCCAAATCACTCCCGATGATGAGTATATCATCCATATAGAGGCAGATAACCATCACATTTTCTTCAGCGACCTTGATGTATAGGCACTTGTCAGATTCACTGACTTGATGCCCATTGTTGTGAACAACCCCATCGAACTTCTCATGCCAGAATTTCAGTGCCAGTTTAAGTCCATATAGAGACTTAACAAGTTTACAAACTTTATCAGGAGCATCAAGTCCTGGTTTCTCCATGTATATCTCTTCAGTGAGATCTCCATTGAGAAAGGCAGTCTTCACATCCATTTGATGTATGACAAACCTTTTAATCGTAACCCATGAGATAATCACTCTAATGGTAGTGATCCTGCAAACTGGTGCATAGATATCAAAGAAATCTATACCTTTTTTCTGAGAGAATCTTTTCGTCACCAGTCTTGTTTTGTACTTCTCAATAGTACCATTAGGACAAAACTTCTTCTTGAAGATCCACTTGCAATTGATAGGCCTTACACCTTCAAGTACATCCATCAGCTCCCAAGTGTGATTATGGATTAATGAATCCATCTCATCATCTATAGCTTCTTTCCACAGAAGAACGTCTGTTGATTGCATTGTTTCTTGAAAAGTCTGTGGATCTCCTTCCACATTATAGATGATGAAGTCATCTCTAAAATCTTTATGTCTTCTGATACGTTTGGAAGATGATTCGATAACTCCATCATCATTGACACTTTCAGTTTCTCATGAAACTGGCTTCTCTTGTGCATCTGACATACTAGCCAATGTTGAAAATAACGTTAACACATAGTGTAACGCTTACCTCTGGTTAGGTTACAATAGCAACAACGCATAGCGTAACGTAGGTTAAATAATTTATTATTATTTAAATAATTTATAGATATATAACATTCAAAATACTCACATTTAAAAATTATTTTCACAAATACCCATAATTTAAGGGTATATGTGCAAATCAGCCAATAAACGAACAAAAAAAACCCACATCAGACGGAAATGCCTCCTACGCCGTCAACTCTGTTATAAAAACCCCATCCTATCCTCAGCTCTCTGCTAATCTAGAGAGAGAGAAAGAGAGCCGACCTTATCCTCTTCTAATTCCTTTATAAAAACCCCACCCCATCCTCACCTCTTCCCTCATCATCTCCTTCCCCCCTCCTCTCTCTCTCTCTACGAACCAACCCTCTCTCTCTCTCATCAGTCGCCGTCACCATGTGTAGCGGCCCAAGAAAACCCCAGTCTCCTAAGTTCGTCGACGACGAAGGCCCTAAGTTCGATGACGACAATGAGGACCTGAGACGAATACGAAGACGAGGGCCTGAGACGAAGACGACGATGACGAGGACCTGAGACAAAGACGACGACGAGGGCCTAAAACGAAGACGACGACGAGGGCCTGAGACGAAGACGACGACGAGGTTAGAATCTGGGCGACGACATCTCTTTTATTTTAGGGTTTTGTTGAATTTGAAGTCAATCACAGTCGTTGATTTTTTTTTAAAATAAATCCTAGCTATTAATCAAATAACGCAGGCTAAGCAACGCTACGCAAAAACGCCACAAAACGTACGCTATGTCCGAAATAGCGTACATTATTTGTGATCTGCGCTATTTCAAAACGCTACATAGCGTTAACCCATCGCTACGTCACGTTAAACGCCATTTTACGCCATATAACACTTTGTTTTCAACATTGATACTAGCATTCTTTGTTATATCTTTGAGCAATAAGCCTTTATCTTTGATAAACTTATCCTCAAAGAATTCTGCATCCCGAGCTTCAATGATGGAGTTGGTTCCAACATCCAAGAACCTGCACGCATTGCTATCTCCAACAAAGCCAAGAAACACACATTTGTTTGCCTTTGGCTCGAGCTTAGGTCTTCTGATATCTGGAATTCGAACGTATGCGAGACACCCTCACACTTTGAGACTATCTAAAGAATCTGGATACCCCAACCATAACTGATGAGGGATATTATCATTTTTGGAGTAGGGTTCTCTGTTCAAAATTCAGTTTGTCATCAGCAAAGCCTCTCCCCAATAGTAGGTAGGAAGAACAGATATGATTAGCAACGAATTTATCATCTCGGTCAATGTGTGATTCTTTTTTCTACAATCCCATTAGATTGCGGAGAAAATGGAACAATAGTTTCTGCAATGATTCCATGCTTCTTGAAGTATGTTTCTGACTCCTTAGATCAGTATTCTCCTCCTCTGTCGCTCCTAAGTCTTTTCACCTGCAGTCCAAGCTGCTTCTCCACTCGAGTCCGAAACTCGACAAACTTGCTGAATGCTTCATCTTTAGATTTTAATATGTAAACGTGGCAGAAGCAAGAATGGTCGTCAATGAATGTGATGAAGTACTTCTTGCCGTCACGAGTGACGAAGCTCTTGAAATCACAAATGAATCAGATTCAACAGGTTGGTGCTCCTCGTAACACATGAAAATGGCTTCCTCGTCAGCTTTGCTTGCGCGTAAACTTCAACCTTTTCATGTTTGTTACCCTCACATTTTGGAAGTAATTCTAACTTCTCTATGCTGAATTTTTTTTTTATAATTTACATGTCCCAGCCTATTATGTCATAACATAGAGGAGTAAGCAGAAGAGGATACTGCATTTACAACGGGGTTGGGTGCACTCGTACTAATTTTATACATGTCATTAGTACGATATGCATTACCAAAATATATTTTCTTGAAGGATAACACAACCTTTCCTCCTTAGAAATCCAGCCTCATGCCTGCATCACACAGTAGTTTTTCAGAGACTAAGTTTTTGACAATTAAGGGAACATATTTCACATTCTTCAATGTGAGTCTTTCCTGAAGAAAGAGTCAGCACCACAGTCTCAGTTCCAAGAATAGGAACTACAGAACAAACAGCCATTGATACGTTCTCTTTACCAGCAACATAAGAAAAGAATAAATCTCTGTTGGAGCAGACATGACAAGTAGCACCTGTATCTAGCCACCAATCAGAAATATTATTGGGAGTTGTTACCTGGAAGAGCATAGCCACACAATCAACTTGATTGACATTGTGCGTTGTTTCCTTCTTTAGTGCTTTACGGTCTTTGGCAAAATATCATTGCTTCCCATAGTTGAAGCATTTGCTGCTTTTCTTAAACTCCTTCTTCTGGACGTTCAGGTTCTCTGAATTCTAGTTCTTCCTTTTGTTAAAGAACTTCTTATTGAAAGATGAATTATTATTTTTCTCAGAGTTAGCAGCCACCATGTTAGCAGACGACTTCTGCTTAGCAAGGAGCTCAGTCTTCGTGCGAGTCCGAGTGTCGTCCTCGATCCGAATGAACCTCTTCAAATTAGACAGAGTTATCTGTCTTTTCCTTCTCCGAATGTCAGTGGAGAATGACATCCAAGATGGAGGAAGTTTGTTGACAATTGCACCAGAAATGAAGGTTTGATAAAGACTGATCTTTTCATCCTTCAGCTTCATAACAAGCTTTTCAAGCTCTTTAACTTGAGGCAAAACTCAGTGTCATCTTCGAACTTTACGTCCAGAAACTTATCAATGAGGTGAGATTTGGACAGCTTCTCCTCATCCTTGTACTGGTCCTCCAAAGCATTCTAAATTTCCTTTGCAAAGGGTTTGTTGGTGTAAGCATCTGCTAGATGATCGGTTAGACAGTTAAGAAGATAACTCCTGCAGAAGTGATCATCTCTGGCTGAAGAGGCTTCAGCTTCAAGATCTTTTTCAGAGTCTAGTTTCTCCTCAGAAACCACATAGTAGATTTTCAGGAGTTGCATCCCGAAGATTACTTTCTGACACTATGCGTTAAAATTGGAACCGTCAAAGTTTTCTAACTTAAGACAGTCCACTCCAAGAGTCCTTATAGGATTCATGGTAGATTAAAATATTGTTTTAAGATTGTTGGCACATGTGGTTAAATCTGGAATAATACAGATATAAAGCAGCAAAAACTGAAAAGAAAGCTGAAGTACAGTAATTTAAAATTTTTTAACTCAGCTGCTGTGCGTTTGTAAAACGCTATGTTTAAAGCAATATTTGGCATATTCCGGTGTAAGCATCCTAAGACCAAATTGCTTTCAAGAACAGCAGTATAGTACTCTTGTGTGCACCAACCCAGTACTGTCAAGATCTCCTCGATCTCTAAGGCAAAAGATCACCTTGATCTATAAGGAAAAGATTTCCTCGATCTATCAGACATTTCGGTCAAGGCAATGATCTCCTCGATCTATAAGACCTTTTCGGTCCAGACACTGTTCTTACGAGCACTAGCTATTTTACAACATATATTTGTATATATTTATTGTTGTTTTTGGAATGAATTTTCCTTAAGGATTTAGGGTCTATTTATAGCATTTGGGAAAACACTATGCACTAATAAAATAATATTATTTTACTATGCAGTGAAGCCCATGTCCTAATTTTCTTCGGTGGGGTCCACCACTTTATTTTAAAAAATTAAAACATGGGCAGCTCTATTAGGCATCAGCCCATGTGAGAATTAAAAAAATATTGAACAATTATCTCTAGTAAAATTTAGAGTTATTTGAAGGCTTTGTCTAATTTGACAGGATGCCATCTGAACTTTCTCTCAGAACTGAAAGGGCAGTGGTAATTTTGTTGAATATCATGCACATAATTTTAGGACTGCATCCGTTTGTGTTACTCTTGTTCTGATTGATATGATGTTATAGTAAATTGTAATGTTTGTCTTCCTTGCTTTGCCTTCTTTTAAGGTCCCCGTGACTGAAAAGTTGGAGGCAAGTTATACTATTACTTGTGCTGGCGATTCAACTGGTGCTCCTGAGTTGGGAGGGTTAGCAGGCCTTGAAGTTGTACCATTAGCGGAGAAAGATGAAAATCTTGAGAAAGCTGAAGCCTACATGAATAAACTTGATGATGTGAGTATATTGCCCATTTCACGTGTCTTACTTATTTGGTTGTATGAATAAGCCATTCCTTTTCTCCAAAAGAAAAACACACACATTGAGATAGAAAGTGAGAAGAAAAATAGCAACAGTAAGAGTATTTCAGCTTTGGATACCACCACAAGTAGGGGTGCTAAACCGTATCCATATCAGTATTTCAGCTTTGGATACCACCACAAGTAGGGGTGCTAAACCGTATCCGTATCCGATGAAATATCCGTAACCGTATCCGTTAGGATACGAATATGGTTACTCAAATCTATAACCGATAGGATATGGTTATGGATATGATTTTGTAGTGAAATATCCGTATCCGTATCCGAAATATCCGAATACATATTAGTCATACTCTTACGATAGTTTCGATTCTTAGATTATGGATTTGTGGTTAATTTTGATGATCAAGATGACTAATCTTAACTATTTAGTTATAATGGACATATTAACGAACTTTTTTGTATCACATGAACTATGTTTTTCTCAATACTATCTAGTTTTCTCATATCTGTTTTGTATCCGCATGCATATCCGCTTATATATCCGCATGTATATCCGTAACCGTATCCGATTTTAGCGGATATGGTTATAAGTTTTTCTTACCGAGGTATATCCGTATCCGTATCCGTATCCGAGATGGGTAAGCGGATATGGATATGGTAAGCATCATATCCGAGCCGTATCCGGACCGAATGCACCCCTAACCACAAGTGATTCCTTGATGGTTGATAAATAGAGTTTGAATTTCATATTGACCATTCTAGTGAATTTTAACGACATTATGAATTTATAAATTTGGAGCTAGGTTTTGTGGATATATTCTCAACATTTATTGTGGTTTATGGTTTTCATTTTCAATTATCACTAATATCAACGTAAAGTGATGTTTCTAGATCCACAGAAATATATTAGATTACAAAATGCAAAATACTTGTTGGTGCCCCTTATTCACAGTAGTTAAGCCCCTTGTAGTGTAGAACGACTGGGGTTCACATTCCACTTGCACTTTCTATGTGACCATTGGGTCGAAATTGACGAAAATGAATAAACATAGTAGGTTATAACTTATAAAAATAGCCAATTTTGAAGCATGGATAATTAATTGTCGTCAGGTTGAAACGGACAAAAAAGGACAAAATCGTGGGTTATAAGCCATGAAATCACAAATTTTGACGTAAGTCAAATAATTGGGTTGAAACAAATAAAAATAAACAAAAATTATGAGTTACAGTATATGAAAATCATGGATTTTAGAAAAGTAATTTTTATTGGGTCGAAATTAAGGTGAGTACAGTTTGGTCTAAACCAAAGTTATTGACGAAACTGTTCGAACTTCAACAGTTCAATTCAGTGCATATTCTAATTCAATTCAGGTAGGTTTAAGAAATCTCAACCCGAACCGCCCATAAAGACCGAACAAGATATAATTACATTGGGTTTAAATTACTGGGTTAGAGGGTGTTGGATTTCAACCTAATTGGACTTAATCTAATCACCTTAATAGGACGTTTTCTATTTCCTAAAATCATGTGATAGATCCTCAAATTAGGTGGTACCTGAAGTCTCTAATTCCTAATCGTTGTTGTACATTTGAAATTCAGTGGATGAAATTAGACCAAATAGGATTCCACTATTGCGATAGGGATTTCCGAAGAATAGCGATTGAAAAATAGTGATTTTCAAGACCATAGTGGTTTTATCTCGTAGCCTAATATTGCCCATTGAACTCGAAATGTACAACAATGATTAAAGGAATTGGAGACTCCTATTACCACCTAAATGGAGAGGATCCGAATCCTATTCCAATCACGTGATTCCCATTTCAAAATTTATAGCCCAAAACCACATCTACAATGCCTGAATTGAGCAAGATTCTCTAAATTGAGCAAGTGTCCTCAAACTTTTACTATATCATTAGCTCCAAAAAAGGAAAAGATGCACATTGTTTGCTGCGAAAAAAGGAAATTTATCTGCCTTCCTTTTTACTAAAAGAAAAGATATACGTGAAAAGAGAGGGCTAAAATTTCTCACTAGCTAGAATCTCCATTATTTATGGTATTAATAGAATTTTGGGCAAGTAATCAATATGGAAATGTGAACTGCAATGAAAGTTATTTGGGTACAATTCAATTCTAGATTTGAAATCAGCCAATGGGGGGAAAATAATAGAACCAACCAAACTGACTCGAAAAGGATAAGGTCATTTCAGTTCGGGTTCTAGCACCAAGGTGGTGCAATTTCAGTTTGGCCAATTTCAGTCAAAACTGAATCAGCTGACCGAATGCTCGCTCCTACTCAAAATGGACGAAAATTGACAAAAGTTATGAGTTATAAGCCATGAAAATTGCAAATTTTAAACTAGACCAAATAATTTGCATTATGTTGAAACAAACGAAAATTGATAAAAATCGTTGGTTACGACTTTTGAAAATTGCGAGTTTTGAAATTCTCATAATTAAATATCATTGGTTTGAAACAAATAAAAATGGACAAAAATCAAGGATTATAATCCATGAAAATTGAAAATCTCAAAGTAAATAATTTCCACTATGTGGAAACAATTAAAAATGGACAGAATTTGTGAGTTATATTCTATGAAAATTGCGAGTTCTGAAGAAAAAACTTGGTTGAGTCATATTAGACGAAAATTGGAAAAAAATATTAGTTTACATAACTCATGAAAATTAAGAATTTTGAAGTACACCAAGTAAGTTCTAGTAGGTCAAACTAAATAAAAATGGACATAGATTGTAGATTATAATCCTTGAAAATTGTGAGTTTGAAGAAAAAAATACTTAATTGCTATTGGATCGAAATGGATGAAAATTTAAAAAAATCATAGGTTAAGCCAAGGAAAATTGTAAATTTTAACGTATGATAAATAATTTCCATAATGTCCAAATAAGGGGGGCTTATTGGTTGGAACAAATTGGGAATAAGTGGGAAAATTATTCCAATGGAACAATTTTATCTCTTTAGGATATTTTGAGTGATGTAAAGTGAGATAAAATGGGATAATAGGACAATTTGAGCCTTTCATTTGACAATTCATGTGGGATAATTGATGATGTGGCACCTTATTAAAATATAATTTTATCTATTAATTACTTCTAAATTAACTTATCCAATTGGTTTAGTATATTATTATAATATAAATATTATTTTACTTTATACTAAAATATAATATGTTAAACTATAATAATATTTTATTTTATTACATGATAATATAATATAATATATTGAATATATTATTACTTAATATTTTGTATATCATGTAATATATTTATAATATAATTAGCATGTATTAGTTTAAGTAATACAAAAAGGTTTGAAAATTATCCCAATTGCCTTCAAAGTGGAACAAAATTGTTCCAATATGGAGGTTGGGGTAAATTTTTATTATTGGGACAAAATTTTTGTATATGAGTGGAGTAATTTTATCCCAAGTGGTGAAATTATCTCACTAGTATTCCAAAAAACCAATCACACAAAAAGTTAATATCCTTGTTTCATTGTCCCAATGAATAACACTATGAAATAGAATTCTCAAAATTATCCCATTATCCCCCCAAATGTCCCAATGAATAACTCCCAAGTGAAATGGAAAGAAATTGTTGGAAATAGACTATGAAAATTGCGAGTTTTGAAGGGGAAAAAACTTCATTGCCATTGGGTTAAAATGGATAAAAATCGAAAGAAATCATGGGTTATAACACATGAAAAATTACAAAATTTTAAGAATACCAACCAATTTCCATTGTGACAAGGCAAATGAAAATAGACAGAAATTGTAGGTTACGATCCTTGAAAATTGTGAGTTTTGAAGAGCATGTAATTAATTGATATTAGGTCGAAATGGTTAAAATGGAAAAAATCAGTTACCACGCATGAAAATCACCAATTTTGAAAGGTGCATAACTAATTATTATTCGATCGAATGGGCTAAAAATGGACAAAAATTATGGGTTATAAGCCATGAATATCGCAAATTTTGAAGTACACGTAATTAAATTTAATTGGGTCAAAGCAGATGAAAATGGACATAAATCATGGGTTATAGCCCATGAAAATTGCATGTTTTGAAGTTTGTCAAATAATTTTCATTAGGTGAAACAAATAAAAATAAATGAAATCGTGGATTGCAGTCCACGAAAACCGTGAGTTTTGAATGCTGCTATTGGATCGAAATGGATGGAAATTTACATAAATCGTGGGCTATAGGCTATGTAAATTGTAAATTTTGAAATATGTTACCATTGGGGTCAAAATAAATAAAAATTATAAAATTATGAGCTATAGCCCTTAAAAAATTGTAAGTTTTGATGAACGCATAATAAATTGTTATTGGTTCAAAAAAGACGAAAATGGACAACATTTGTGGATTAACCCTTGAAAATTTTAAAATATTTCATTATGTCAAAATAAATAAAAATGTACATAAATCGTGGATTATAGTCCATGAAAACCACGAGTATTGGGGTAAAATAATTTAATTGTCATTGGGTTGAATTGGATGAAAATTGAAAACATTATGAAACATTATGGTTATAGGCCATAAAAACTCTGAATTTTGAAGCACGCCTAATAATTTCCATTGGGTCGAAACAAATGAAAATTATCAGAAATCGTGAGTTATAATCCATGAAACTTGCTGGTTTTAAAGGAAAAAACTTAATTGCTAGTGGGCCAAAAAGGAAAAAATTGAAAAAATATGGGTAATACCTAATGAAAATTGTGAATTTTTAAATATGATAAATAATTTCCATTATGATGAAACAAATGAAAATACACAGAAAGCTTAAATTACAACCCTTGAAAATCGCGAGTTTATAAATACACAATTAGTTGCATTTTGGTCAAAATGGATGAAAATGGATAAAAATTGTGGGTGAGTATGCATAGTTACTTATCATAGGGTCCAAAAGACAAAAATGGACAAAAAGCATGAATTATAAACCATGAAAGTTACAAATTTTAAGGTACACCTAACTAATTTTCATTAAGTCAAAATGGACTAAAATTAGCAAAAATCCTTGGTACTAACCCATGAAAATTGTGTAGTTTGAAGGACATCAAATAATTTCCATTAGGTCCAAACAAACAAAAATTAAGGGAGTCTAATTTTTTTAAAAAATAATTGCCATTGGGTTGAGATGGATGAAAATTATAAAATATCATGGGTTATACAAACTTAGAAAATTATAAATTTTAAAGTATGCCAAATAACTTCCTTTAGGTTGAAAGAAACAAAAATTGTGATTTACAGCTCTTGAAAATTGTGAATTTTAACCAATTTCCATAGGTCAAAACAAACAAAATAAGAAAGAAATAATGGTTATAATTAATGAAAATTGCAAGTTAAAAAATCTTAGTAACCATTAGGTCGAAATAGACAAAATTTGAAAAAAATGGTGGGTGAAAATTGCAAATTTTGAAGTACACCAGTAATTTCTACAATGCCGAACCGAGTGGAATGGACATAAATCATTGATTATAGTCCATGAAATTGTGAGTTATGAAGGCAAAAACTTAATTGTCATTGGGTCAAAACGGGCGAAATTTGAAAGAAATTGCAAGTTATAGCCAATGAAGATTGGAATTTCGATTAACACCAAATAATTTTCATTGGGTCGAGACAGAAGAAAATGGATAAACATTGTAGGTCACAGAAAATCGTGAACTTTAAAGTATGCATAATTAATTGCAATTTGGTTGAAATAGACTACAATGGATAAAAGCTTTTGGTTATAATCCATGAAAATCACTAATTTTTAAATATGTATAATTAGTTGTAATTGGGTCCAAAGAGGCAAAAATGGACAAAAATCATGAGTTATAAACTATGAAGTACAAAATTTAAAGTATACAGTGAGTCAAAACAGACGAAATAGACAAAAATCATGTATTATAAGTTATAACTCATGGAAATTAAATTGTGTATTGTGAAGTATATCAAATAATTTCCATTAGGTTCAAACAAACAAAAATGGACAGAAATTGTGGGTTATAGGCCATGAAAGCCGTGAGTTTTGAAAAAAAATTAATTATCATTAGGTCAAAATGGATATTTTTTTGAAAATCGTCGGTTGTAGGCCATGAAAATTGCGAAGTTTGAAGAACGCCATATCACTTCCATTAGGTGGAAACAAATGAAAATTAATAGAAATGCTAAGTTATGACAAATAATTTTCAGAGGTCAAAACAAAAAAAAAAGAAAAAGAAAAAGAAATTGTTGGTTATAGGCTATGAAAATTATAAGTTTTGAAAATAAAACCTAATTGCCATTAGGTGAAATTGGAGAAAATTTGAAACTTTTCGTTCTTACAGCCCATAAAAGTTACAAAATTTGAAGTATCTTGGATAATTTGTGTAGTGCTAAGCCAAATAAAAGTGGACAAAAACTGGTAGTTATAGTCCATGAAAATTTTGAGTTAGAAGGAAGTAACTTAATTGTCATTAGGTCGAAATGTGCGAAATTTAAAAGAAACAACGGTTATAGCCCATGAGAAACTTAATTGCCAAATAATTTTCATTAGGACTAACAAGCGAAAATGGATAGAAATTGTAGGTTACAACTCTTGAAAATCGTGAGTTTTAACATACATCTAATTAATTGACATAGGGTTGAAACAGATAAAAATGGATAAAATCATGTATTATAAGTTTATAACCCATGAAAATCACCAATTTGAAGTATGCATAATTAGTTGTCATGGGATCAAAATGGATAAAAATCTTGGGTTACAAGCCATGAAAATCACAAATTTTGAAGTTCATATAATTTATCTTTATTGTGTCAAAATGGACAAAAACCATGGGTTTATAGCCCATGAAAAATGTGTATTTTGAAGCACATCAAGTTATTTTTATTAGGTTGAAACAAACAAAAATTAGGAGAAATCGTAGGTTGTAATCCATGAAAATCGTGAGTTTTGAAGAAAAAAACTTAATTACTATTGGGTCGAAATGGAAAAAAATTGTCAAAAAAAGTAATAGTAAAAAAGTGAAAGAGGTTTATAGTCCATGAAAATCACCAACTTTAAAAGTACACATGTTTCGTTGTCACTAGATCGAAGCGGACAAAAAAGACAAAAATTGGAGGTTGTGAGCCACGAAAATCTACGTATAATTACCTGTCATTGGGTGGAAATGAATATTCTCATTATATCGAGGGTTTATATACTGGTACAAAAGGATGTGGTTTAGCTTCCCAGGTAATGTCGGATTAAAGAAATATGTACAAAATAATAGTGTATGCTATACGGTTCCTGGCAGAGTCTCAGGGTTTCATGGTGACACTGATGGGAAAATACTTAGTTAATTTAGACTGATAATAATGTAAAAACTAAACCAACTATCTGCCTAAGGGGCTTAGGCTATGCAAAGTGGTTGCCAAAAGTAAGAACAGTTCAGAATACTAAAAGGTGTGTGTGAGATAGGATTTATTCATGATAAAAAACACCCAGACGCAGAGAGAGAGGGAGGAATTGGAAGGAATAGGCATGAAGGCAATTATTATCCTCTTATGAACTGCATTTGGAACAGCCCATGGAACAGATGACCCTTGATAAATAATCAAAAGGAATTCAACAACGTGAAATGATAGTAAACCTAATCATACAGAATCAATACAAGAGCATCAACCTATTTTGTCCTGGACAGTTCGATTAAAATTTCTTTGCCACATTGGATAGTCGACAACATGATAAAGCTATTGGATACCATGCATGTTCCATGACTGAGAAAGCATCTTGTGAAGAGAAAAGGTCACTATTGAATTAAAGCTGTGCATAAAAATATTGAAAGTTTAACTATCATACCTCTACGTACCCTGTATGTTTGGAATTGACATTAAACCAGCTTCTCGATTATCATGATTGTTGGTTATTCTGTTTCATGATTCTTCCATTAGTTTGATCTCTGAATCCATTTGGTTCGATCTGAACCTGTTGGGATGTCAGGAACCCAATAATGCATATGGTATTATGAAATTGCAGTGTGCTATTTTCATGCATGATTTCTGTCCACTCTAAGTTACAGGAACTGACTACTGAGTATGAACTGACTACCAAATCTTTTCAATATTCTTACCGTTTTGTCTCATCCACATTATATGGTCATAGTTAAGGGTATTATTACAATCATTAGAAGGAACTAAAAAAGTTGGAGTGAGACTGTTATGATGGTCGATAACCAAGCACATCTCTGAATTTAGCTGAAGGAGTGAAGGCCAAGCCAATAAGCTGACATAAGGCTTTGTTTTGTTGTATCCATCCAAAAAATTATGAACATAGAAATTTTTGCTTGTATTCATGAACTATTAAAGGCATTGAATTTCTTATATTACTCTTTGCAGATGTGCCACATGCTGAGAAAGAAACATGAAGAAGCTAGAGAGTTGCTGGTTCGTGCTGTTGTAAACAATAACACGCTGATGATGCTTAACCATCCCCTGTTCGATGAGAAGATATCCTTTCATATACATGTCCATTTTTAATCATGCTAACTTAAGTGGATATATAATATTTGTTTCTTTAACGATTAAAAACATCCGTTCCCTCCAGAACTTTGCCAGCAGCCTGCAGTCCAAGAACTTCTTCTGAACTCCGTTGTTGCTGTTTCCTGAATGGAGGGACTCGAGACCCAGTACCTGCTTAAACTACTCTATTTCACGCTTCAAGTGGTTTGATCTTAGTGTACACAGACATCTGAGAACTTGAGCAATAATTTCAGACCACTATTTTCTACAGTTTTCTGTTTCTAGTGATGGATTTCTGAGCCAACCGATATATGAGCGATGCTTAAATTTGGTGCTTGCTGCTGCTAGAGTAAGTTGACGCATAGTATCTTCATCAGCATTTTCCACAACAAGGTTATACATCATGATCTATTGAAACTGATGAAGGAATTCCATCAAAATATAATTAAAATCAAATTTGATATAATAGGATTCTATCATGTTATAATGAAATTTTGTCCGATTAAGTGTAATTAGATCCGGAAATATTCCATGCTCTATCTACTCGCTCAGCATTCGGTTTTCCTTCGCAATTATAATTCTTCATTTATAGCATATGGTATGAGATTGGTCGTCATCGATCCTACTTACATGAGATGCGATAGCTACTCAATTAGTTCCAAACTATTCTGTAGCATGACAAATAGTTCACCTCAAATAGTTTACCTCGATACCTGCATTCCATCCGTGATAGAAAACACCAAGTTGGTCATATACCAACAATGTCTTGAAAGTATAATTTCACCTTCAAAAAGGATCGAACCAGAGTTGATTGCTCGGAAAATGATGAGGTGGATGATGAAATTTAGATTGCACTACGGAACTCTTATGCCCTGTTTGGATGGAGGGTAGAGAGGGGCAGGGGAAGAGAAATGAGGCTTTCACCTTGTTTGAGAGTTTTTTTAAGGAGGGTAGAGAGAAGGAAGGAAGGGGAAAGGAGGTTAAAATTGCTTGGTTCCGGGTAAAGGGGTGTAATGACATTCTTACCCCCATCAAAACAAATAAAAGGCCTGATGTGTTATTAGTATAAAGTCATTTATGTAAATTTACATATATTTACTTCCTTTCACCTTCATTCACCTTACTCAACTCCCAAACAACATATTACAATTCTCTTCCCTTCCCTTCCCTTCCCATTGTTTACCTTTCCTTCCCTACCCTTAGTAAACTCCCAAACACACCATTAAGTAAATTATACACGTGCCTCGGTTAACTTAAAGCATGACTTCAGAAGCCTATTAATCAGCTAAAAAAGAAATTGCTTCACATTTTTTAGTGCTAAGATAAGAAAAAAACCCTTTACTTTGAAAGGTTATCAGATACCCTCCTTACGACGTATGAGAAAATTCACCTTACCTTTAGGCATTATTAGAAAACTACCTTTAAGATTTTGTTAGGAAACCTCTTTAAACGTGAGAATCACAATTTTCAGTGGAAATAGTATCCACCATCCTAAATTTATCCACCCATGTGAAAACATGTGGCTAATGTTGTTAGGAGGCCTTTTGATAAAATATTAAAGATTAAAAAGGTTTTGAAAAGCCTTACAAAGGAAAGCTTTCTTGTTATAAGACTATCAACAATGGTTTTGTTTTTCAACACCCTACTTTTTACTTTTTACTTTTTAACACTCCACATCATCTTCTCTCTCTTCCACCTAATAATTCAACACCCACTCAACTTTTACACTCTACAATGGTTTTGTTTAATAAAATTCAACACCCTACCCCACCACTTTTATTTCATATTCTTATTTTCTCAAAAATCCCACCACCCAATAGCATGAAGACATGCGTTCAATCTACTCTCTCTCTCCTGTGTGTGGTCCTCTCCCACTCCTTATTCAACATGTTGAATTAATTCAACACAAATTAATCCAAATGGGATTCAACACCCTCTTTAACAACTCCATTAAACCAATTCAACAGTTGAATTCTTTTTTCAACACCTCCATTGTAAGTAGTCTAAGGGTTAAAAAGATCACTTACCTTTTGTTTAACCCTTTTTTAAGTTCGAAACTAGTCATATATAAAGGAAAGAAGATAGAAATTAAAAGTTTAATAAATAATGATAAAGTCGAAATTTCCTAAAGTCCCAGGGTTGAACATGTGAATAAACAAGCTTTAAATGCAGTAGCAATGAATGAAAAGGGTGCATATGCAAAAGGTGTAAACTGAAAACAATGCTGAAGTTGCTCAGTGTTAACTCATAAGGCCAAAATTGCAAGATCATTTCAATGCAGTGAGCGTTTACCAAATGTGCAATATCAATGAATTAGTGAAACTCAAAATATTAATAATGTGAAAATTGCAAAATCATTTTAGAAAGTTATAAAAATTACTACATGCGGTGAGCGTGGATCGAACACGCGACCTTCAGATCTTCAGTCTGACGCTCTCCCAACTGAGCTATCCCCGCTGCGTTATTTTACCAAACACTTCAAGTAATTAATCATTAGTATTTTTACTAGAATGCCTCAATCACCCTTTTTTATGAGCTGAAACAAACTTGAATTGCTCTTATACCATCTAAATTAAATCCCTCTATCATTATACCAAAACTTCAAAGTTATTGTAATAGTTGAGGTTTATATTTTTATATTGTAACATGTAGAATAAAAGGCGCTTCAGTCTACAATATTATTGCAACAATGCATTGAGTTTCCAACAACATTTCAATAAAAAATACAAGCAGACATTCGAAGGAGTAATTGATCTTTTTAACAACGTCATTATCATTGTTAAGAGAGTTCTCTGGCGATTTTTAAATCCGTTGTAGTTTCCTATAATGAAAATGGTTTAAAGTATTTTCCTGCAAAATCATAATAGTGTATGATAGTTTGGTGAAATTTATTCTTCCGTTTCCAATTCATGCATTTATATCAACCAAGAAAGAAATATATATGCCTACTCATTCACGCACCTTTTTCCGTAAAGTGAGACCAATAATTTTCAATGCCCAGTTAAGATGTTTATAATCTTTTATCAAATTAATTTAATTTAACATGGTCAAGTGTGATAGTGGCCAGAGCATAAAGACCAGAAAAACCAATCCAAAGATTTGATGGAAAGTTCATAGTTTCAGCTAAAGCCAATGAAAACTTTAGATCATTAGAGCCTTTTTGAGAAAGCATATTATATTAATTTGGCTTATGATTTCATAATTCAGTACGTGCTTTGACTTGCTAATTGGTTTCTGAGGAATGAGTAATCTAATCCATGGGCATAAATAAGAGAGAGAGAAATATAAGAATATTCATTAGAAAGTTGAAAGACGTGAGGATGGTTTGGTCGGTGTTTGTGTTTGGGTTTAATATATAATTGACCAATTACTCTCCCTCACTACAACTTTAGGACCTCAGCGTATGACAAAATGGGTTGTTCTCAGTGAAAATGACAAACTCTAGCATGGGATTTTTTTTTTTTTTTTGTCTTATTGAATCGGTCCCAGCTCATCAAAACCACAGTTAAGTAATCCTCGATCGATCAGAAGTTTTAAGGTGCATAAAATACACGTAAAATTTGTCCTCATCCTGCTCTTCAATCATCATCAGTAGACCTGAGCTGGTTTAATCTGCACCGCTTTTTTAATTACCCACTGGATTCTATTCGACAGTTGTTCTCCAACTGAACAATTTGCAACCAACAAAACTACTAGCAATCAATAATAAGTTAAATCTTGAGCCATTTGATCTAGGACGACGACAAACATGCAAGCTCGTTAAGGCATTAGAAAAGATGTTCTGCTTTTTTTTTTCTTTTTTAAAAAAAACCTTTTGAGGATGCCCATGGATGGGTTGATCTCTTGGTAGTGGAGTCCTAATCCTCCACATTAAGCTGAACAAACAAACTGCGAAGACGCCGCATGAGCAAATTGGATGAGGGCAACGAGTCAACAAAATGCATGAGGACTTCATTTATTTATTTTTGTGTGTGGATAACAGAAAATAGCTCATCTATCTAACAGAACTTCACTGTGCTCTCTGTTGGTCTTGAAAGTGAAGACCCAAACCTAGAATCAAAATTAACAATCGCATGAAAATTCAAGACAGGCCATGGGTGTGGTCTGCACCACACCAGGGTGTGGCAGAATCTGCCCTGTCTGCCATGGGTGTGGTCTGCGCCACACCAGGGTGTGGCAGAGTCTGCCCTGTCTGCCATGGGTGTGGTCTGCGCTACACCAGGGTGTGGCAAACTCGTTTTAGAATCCTAATCTGTTTGGGACTGTGTTTTGTTATAAATAGAAACGCGTCCCTTTAGGGTTTAAGAGAGAAAAAGAGCACGAAAAAAAGAGGGTTTTGAGGGCTCTTTGAGGTTAGAAATCTTAGAGAGAGAGAGAGGCCAATTGCAAGCATTGTAATCTTCTTCAAGTAATCAAAGAATTGTGTGGTTTGACTCCCGAGGACGTAGGCACGTTGCCGAACCTCGTTAAATCTGGTGTGTTCTTTCTTGTTTACTTTCCTACAAGTTTTTATCTTTGATTTGTGGTGAATTTCTTTCTTGCTCAACTCTCAAACACAAGATCCGGAAGGGTACGGATTTGATTTGATTATTTTAAATCCCCAACACTCTCCTGGCATTTCATTTGACAGATGGCAGAGGAATAAGACTTACGCTTGCGCCTTAGCGACAAAATTAGAAGCTCGATTATTGTCTTCTGTTTAATTGTGTAAAACTTTAACTGATCATATAGAATTCAGCATGGCATTGCACGTCTTCGATCATGAACATAGCAGTGTTAAGCTTGGCACCTCCCGTGACAGTCTAAATAATCACTTTCAAATCTTCCTCCAACCAAACGCATGAGGAATTGCAGGCAAATTCAGTGTGTTCATTTGAGGTTCCCTTTCATTAGTCCCTCCCAGGCTCCCACTCTGAGCTCCTTTTAGGATGGAAAATCTGCAAATTAACTGAAAAGTTACAAAATTGTCAGAAATAGCCAGGGCAAAAGGTTGATATAAACTAAAAAGCATATTGAAATTTTTATACCGAAATTATTAATTTGCACTACCAATAATATTAATATGCATACACATTGAAAACATTGGTAAAAAGGTCTGTAATTAAAAAGTCTCATAACTATGGGTGAACCAATAGTCATTTTCTACCCACCAACAAATAATTTCGTGGAGTTAACATTAATTCACGATTTCATGATCTATAACCAATGATTTTTGGTTATTTTCAATCATTTCTACCCATTAGCATATAATTTCGTGGAGGGTCGTCCATTCATAGTTTTATGAGCTATTACTCACAATTGCTCATTTTTAATCATTTCGATCCGTTGGCATCTAATTATGTGAAATCTAAAATTCATGATTTCATGAGTTAT